AACCACCATTGCTCAGAACCGACAGAAATCAAGTTGAATGGAAGTCTCGCAACTACGAAATGAAAGAAACCACATCCCTCCAGACGGGTAGGAGAAGAGCAGACACAGAATAGGCTGGTCCATTACCCACGTGTGGTGGCTAAAAACTCAGAAGGGGTATCTCAAGAGCAAGGAGTCCCAGACCCACACTGGGCCTTCCAACCCAGGGTTCCAGTGCCAGGGAAATTAGTCCCCACAACTTCTGGCTGCAAAAACCATTGAGGATTAAGTCAGTGGAAGAAATTTCTGGAACCCCAAGCAGTTCCTCTTAAAGAACCCACACACGGACTCACCTACTCAGACTCACTCCCTCTGGGCTCTGGTGCCAGGGTGGCAGCTTGGGAGGCCCCAGTGGCGTGCAGGCAGAGGCTGAGGTCTCTGGCATCAAGAGGAACAGAGGCCATTGTCCCTTTTCTGGGTCCTCCTCCCACAGATACAGCAGACTGGTACTGCATCTAAGATTGCGTCAACCTGGCTAACACTGTTTCATACACCTTGGAGATCCCCAGAGACTCTGCCCTACCCAACTTACTGGCCCACCCAAGGTGCTTTTCTATATGAATGGTTGGTCTCGACTCATGCCGCACAACTTCCTAAGTCCTTTCACACAAGCAGCAGCCGGCCTCAGTGAGCCCCAGGACCAGAACTAGCAGCCTAGATTCACAGCTTGGCTTCATCTCAGAAATCTCCAAGCCTAACACAAGTAGCAGCCATCTCAGATTGCGTTATAGCTCAAGCAGAGTGGCTCTGGGCAAAACACAGGTGGGGACTGACCTTGGCCTGCATCACCGGGAAACCCCAAGGCCAGTGCACCCAGTGGACAGCAACAGACCACATCAGAGCCCCACCACCTGCCCCTGCACAGCTGATCCTCCACGGAGGGTAGAGGTTGGTGGTCAGTGGTCTCAGCCAGTCCTTGCAACTGACTGGCCTGGGTAAATCCCTTCCATTGATTTGTCAAAAGCAACCAAGGCTCAACTACAAGAGGAAGATCTGCACAGCCCACACAAAGGGTACACCTCGGGTACCCAGCTTGGGTGATCAGGGAGGCTGTGCCACTGGACCCTACTATGTTAGGCCACACTATCAAGATATGGAGTCAAAGCAGCTCTACCTGACACATAGAAACAACCACAGGGAGGCTGCCAAAATGTGGAGACAAAGAAACATGGCCCAAATGAAAGAACAGATCAAAACTCCAGAAAAAGAGCCACATGAAGTGGAGATAAGCAATCTAGCAGATGCAGAGTTCAAAACACTGGTTATAAGGATGCTCAGGGGACTTAGGGAGGACCTCAGCAGCATAAAAGAATCAGTCAGAAATGAAGGACACACTAATTGAAATAAAGAACAATTTACAAGGAAACAACAGTAGAGTGGATGAAGCCAAGAATCAAATCAATGATACGGAACCCAAGGAAGCAAAAAACAACCACTCGAAACAACAAGAAGAAAAGAATGTCCCCCCAAAATGAAGATAGTGTCAGCAGCCTGTGGGGCAACTTTAAGCAATCCCACATTTGCTTCATAGGGGTGCCAGAGGGAGAAGTGGAAGAGCAAGAAGTTAGAAATCTATTTGAAAAACTAATGAAAGAAAACTTCCCTAATTTGGTGAAGGAAATAGACATGCAAGTCCAGGAGAGCCCCCACCAAGGTGGACTGAAAGAGGCCCACCCCAAGACACATCATAATTAAAATGCCAAAGGTTAAAGATAAAGAGGTGGGAGGGAGGGTGTTGACAGGTGAGGTGATTAAGAAGTACAAACTGACAGTCACTGAATAGCCATGGGGATGTAAAGTACAGCATAGGAAAGGGAGTAGCCAAAGAACTTATATGCATGACCTGTGAACATGAACAATGGTGGGGGGATTGCTTGAGGGAGTGGAGGGTGCTGGGTGGAAGGGAGCAAAAATCAGGACAACTGGAATGGCATAATCAATAAAATTTTAAGAAGTCTGCCCTGGTTGGTGTGGCTCAGTGGACTGAGTGCTGGCCTGCAAACCAAAGGGTCGCCAGTTTGATTCCCAGTCAGGGCACATGCCTGGGTTTTGGGCCAGGTCCCCTGTAGGGCATGCATACACATGAGACAACCACACATTAATGTTTCTCTCTCTCTCTTTCTGCCTCCCTTCTTCTCTCTACAAATAAATAAATAAATCTTTAAAAAATTAAAAATAAAAATCTTTTAAAAAATCAATCAGTCCTGACTGGTGTGGCTCAGTGGACTGAGTGCTGGCCAGGAGCTGATGGGTCTCTGGTTCCATTCCCAGTCAGTGCACATGCCTGGGTTGCAGGCCAGGTCCCCAGTGAGGGGCACATGAGAGTCAACCACACATTGATATTTCTATCCCTCTCTTTCTCCCTCCCTTCCCCTCTGTCTGAAAGTAAATAAATAAAATAAAGTCTTTAAAAAATCAATCATATTTCTACATACCAGCAATAGACAATTGGAAAATTAAATGGAGCCCTGGCCAGTGTGGCTTAGCTGGTTGGAGCATCCTCCTATAAACCGAAAGGTTGTGGGTTCGATTTCTGGTCAGGGCACATGCCTACGTTGTGTGTTCAATCCCTGGTCTAGGAGCCTACAGAAGGCAAACAATCGATGTTTCTTTGTTAGAGAGAGAAACATCACACTCTCAGATTCTCTGAGGGTGAGAGAGAGAGAGACACTGATGTTTCTCTCTCTCTCTGTCTCTCTCTTTCCCTCTTCATCTCCCTGATTCCCTCTCTCCCTCCCTCCCTATCCCCTTCCTCTCTTTTTAAAAGCAAAAAAAGAAAAAATGTTCTCAGATAAGGATTTTAAAACAAAGGTTTTTTTATTTTATTTTCTAAAAATTTTTAAGCTTTCTTTTTTTAAAGTTGTTTTTTTGTTGTTTTTGTTTTTTTAGAGAGAAGGGAAGGGAGGGAGAAAGAAAGGGAGAGAAACATCAGTGTGTGGTTGCCTCTCACATGGCCCCCACTGGGGACCTGGCCTGCAGCCCAGACATGTGCTCTGACTGGGAATCGAACTGGTGACCCTTTGGTTTGCAGCCCACACTCAATCCACTGAGCTCTACCAGCCAGGGCTTTTAAAAAAGATTTTTTAAAGAAATGGAAATGAGGACAACACTTATATCCTAAAACCTTTTGAGGATTAATGAGATAATACTTAAAAGCCCTATCATGGTGTCTAGCACATAGTAGGTATTCAACAAATGGCTCCGGACAATATCACCCTGGTGGTTAATGTCATTCTCATCTGCTCAGGTCCAGTCCCAGCTGGTAGGGACCGGTCTCACGGGACAGCAAAGTCTGCGGGCTCCCTTCACATCTTCCTTCTGGTCTCCAGCCTCTCCAAGCCGCCCTGCAACCCCGGGGGGCGGGGGGCCGCTCTCCCCACGCCCCAGAGACTTCCGACTGAGCCCCCTCGGAGTCTCAACACAGGCGAGAAAGGTGTTCCATGCCAAAGTGGGTCTCTGTCATCAAAAACAAGCTTGTAGGAGAATATTTACTCATGTGCAAAGATGTTCCTGAGATAGTGTAACGTGAAAAAAATAGCTATATCACTCCAGTACAAAAAAAAGTATGTGTGAATGTATGTAGGGGTCTCTCTATGTGTTTTTGTTAAAGGCCTAGAAGGTATAGAAGTCAATGTCGCTAGTATTTATCCTGGAAGGGGATAGAATTAGGATAATGGTTATCTTTTTCTCTCTGATATATATATATGAGAGAGAGCTAATGTGTGCGTGCGTGAGTGCGTGCGTGCGTGTGTGTGTGTGTGTAGAGAGAGCAAAGTGTTTTATTTAACAGCTGACACCAGAAGTCCTCATGGGAAAACACCGTGATGAGTCTCGGGGAGGGGAGAGAGAATGTGGGGTTGCCTGGAGCCACGTGGGAGGCCGGGGCGGGTGGGAATTCCCCGGGTGGAGGGCCCGCAGACCCCGAGTGAGCTGGCATCCTTCTGTTCCATTCGGAGCTGTCAGCACGGCCCCGTGGGGACGTCCCTTGGCCTTGTCCCCATCTGCCCCCATCCCTAGAAAACAGCCACGCTCTGAATGCCCTCTGCGCGGGGTTTTGTAGAGACCGAGAGAGGGCCCAGGTCTCATGTGTGAGTCAGGGCGGAGGGGACAGGATCCCAGGGTCGGAGGCAGCCCCAGAACACACTCCTGGGGAGCCTACAGGGCTCTGCACCCCCCAGATGTGGGGCTAGGGGCCCAACCTGGCAGCTCTGGTTCTCACGGAGACCCCAGCTGGCATGGGTGGCATTTATTCCTCGCTTTCTCTGCAATGAGCAAGGTTACTCGTGTAAAATAGATGTAACTGAGCGAGGATGCTCATCGCCTTCCCAGCCGCCGGGCAGACTGGCTGCGTGCAGACTGGCTGCGTGCAGACCGGCAGGCAGCTGGGTTGGGTGGGCACACCCGGCTGGGCACGGACGGGGCTGAGCCTCTCTGCCCCAGATAATGATGGAAAACGCAAGGGCACGTGGAAAAGCGCCCCCACCTGTATCTCCTCTTGACCGATCGTAAGGACATGAAACAATGTCCGTATGTGACGAGGAGGGGGTGTGGGAAGAATTAAAAGTCGTTGACGAGCGAAGGGCTTGGGACAGCGCCTGACCTTTTCCTCTTTTTGTGATTCTTGTTGCCGCGACGGCGTGTGTGCAATAAAAACAGGAAGGATTTGGTGAGCCGGCCCACGGCACCATCTGGTTGGATGAAGGACTTGTCTTTCTTCCTGATCAACCCAGGCCTGCTATCCCTCCTTCCAGAAGTGGAGGGGGGGCCAAGGGGGGGACCCGGGGTAGTTCGCATAATCTCACTCCACTTCCCTAGAGAGCCCAGCAGGTGGGACTTCGTGTCCCCAGTTTACAGATGAGGAACTGAAGTCTCGGAGAGGTCACAGCCAGTGCACGACCAAGCCAGGGAACCAGACCTCACGTGAGGCCCGAGAGGCAGGGGCGCGAGGCCCCAGGACTCACCGTGTAGAGGGACTCGGCGGCGGCCGGAGGCTGCTCTGCTGTGGCGGTGCTTGCAGCCGGGCCCGGAGCCAGGGCTGGAGACGGGCCCTTCCGGGCTGGGCGTTTGTGTGAACGCTTCATCTGTTTCTGCGAGGGAGCAGCAAGTCAGACGTCAGGGCTGCGGACGAGGGACGCCCCAGCCTCCCTGCCTGCACTGGCCCACCGGGGGAAAGCACGGCAGGCTGTCGTGAGGCCACACAGAAAGTGACCACTCAGCACCTTTCCCCCAACCTCTCCAGGGAATGGTGCCAAACGCCTCCAAGATCTGCGTCTGACCGCTTCTCCTCCGGGAAAACCCAGCGCTGATAAAGACCCCACGAGGCACTGCCCACGGACCCAAGGCCGGACTCAGGGAGGCGGGGGCTGCAGGGCAGTGCCCGTGTGACCGGGTCACCAGCTACTGCGCAACTGCTGGGGGCGGCGCTGAGTCAGCGCCGGAGGGACCCGGTGTGCAGGCCCGCCCTGCCCTCCCTGGCTCTGCCCTCCCTGGCTCTGCGGCCTCCCGAAAGCCCCCTGCCCCTCGCAGGGCCTCCGCCGCTTCATCAGGAACCCTCCTCCGCAAAATTGTTGCAAGAATTCAGGGAAGGAAGCAAGGAAGAGCTTAGGTGGCCCTCAGCCGCACTCTCGTCGGGTCCCCTTGGTAGCCTCGTTGCGCGAAGAGATGGACACCGTCCCTGCCCTCCCGGAGCTCGGGACCCAGGGGGGAGTTGGACAAGGACCTGGAGCTTTTACTGAAGTGTGGGACACTCACTGACCCGCGGGGACAGAGCCTCCGGCACCTGGGGAGAGCATGGGCACCTCGGCTGGGAGGAAGGGGTGTTTGAGACCTGAGGGCGGAGAAGTTTGTTTGGTCAGAGAGGGAGGAGAGGCAGAGGGAGGAGCATGTGCCAACTCCCAAAGGTTCTGAGGAACTTCCAGATGGTCAGCACGGCCAGAGAGAGAGAGAGGTGGACCTGCGGGGTGGGGGGGGGGGGGCGGTCAGCACCGCTGTGCAGGGGCGCGTGAAGGGAACACGAGCAGCGGAACGTCAGGGGCTTTAGAGGGGGGCGGGGCAGAGTCACAAGCTGGGGTCGGAAAAAGCTCCGGCTGGCTGCTGCCTGCAGCACTAATGGCAGCCCCGGGAGGTGGGAAGCCGGAGGGCGCAGAGAAAGAGTGGGAGGCGGCACCGCCGGGTCCTTCCGAGGAGGAGGAGGAGGCCCGGGGAGGCCGTCCGAGCGCGCCCCCTCGGCGCAGGCACCACACTGCCAAGAGTGGAACAACAGCCTCATCTCTGGGTAGAAGCTAATTAAAAACCCTGGCTGCCTGCCAATCCCCAGCCCATTTACTCGGGATTAGCTCTCGAGAGCTACTTCACTCTCAGGCGGAAGCCGGCGCCACCCCCGGTCGCAGCAGCAGAACGGTGCTGCTCGGGCGGCTCGGGAAGGTGGAGCCTCACTGGGTGCGGGGAGGGGCTCTGAACACTCCACCTGCCTCGTCTCACGTCCCCCAATAAACCTGCAAAGCAAGTCCTCGTATTATCTCTGCTCCACACAGGAGGATGAGCAGGCTCAGAGACGGCCAGCCACTTGCCTGAGGCCACAGAGCCAGGAAGTGGCAGAGGTAGGATTTGAACCCAGGTCTGTCTGATTCACCTGACAGGACCTGGAGTCTCCGCTGTGTTCTTTTATTTGGCGGTGTAGGTCTCACAGACAGAGACAGGTACCCGCACCCACGTCACACTTTACAGTTTGCAAAGAACTGTGGGACCGGTTCTTATTTCCATTTAACCCACATCATAGCCTGAGGAGGGGGGCATGGAATTCCCACTTAAAAGATGGGGAAACTGAGGCCGGCCCACCTAGTCAATGACTGCCCTTGATCAAACCCAGATGCCCTGCTCTCAAACCTGGTGCCCCTCCCCTGACCACCTGCTTTGAAGTATCTGTCACGGGCAGAGGCCTTGGCTCCCCTCCAGACAGCTGGGGGGCTGGTGCCTCTCCCCTGGACATTGCCGAGGCTGGCGGGTGTGAGTCGTGGGCAGGGGCTGCCCTGGACTCCATGGTCAGCAGGAGCCCGGACTGGCCTCACGGCACTCCTACTGAGACTAGTGGGGCCGCCAGCGTGGTAAGCGCCATGGCGGGGTCGTGGGAGGGAGCCCCGAGTCTGCCAGGGGACGGGGCCGGACTTCCCAGAGCTTGCACCATCTCCTGAAGATGGGGGAGGGGTCTGGGAAAGTGTCCCCGGCTGCAGGAACAGCACACAGAGTAGCCCGGGGACAGGACTGTGGGACCTGTCAGGGACACGCAGAAGGACAGGCTGCCAGACAGAAAGTGGTCGGATGGACACAAAATCGGGGGCGGGGGCTGCAAGGGCAGGGCCACAAAAGGCGGGATGCCACCGTTCCGTTACTCAGAGAGCTGCCAGGGCAGGGAGTCGGTCAGACTGCGTCAGGTTCGCGTTTTCTGAGGCTCCCCCCGCTGCCGCAGGTGTGGGCGGGCTGAGAGTTGGGAGGGACAGCGAGGGGAGGGCGAGAGAGCTCCAGCAGTGGCAGGCCTTCCAGTGGGGGACGGGGAGGCTGGGCCGGGGCCAGGGTCCCAGGGAACACGGAGGGAGCCTTCCTGGAAGAATCAGGCCGGTGTGTTTTGTTACAGGTGCAGGGACACTCCGCCCCTTGGAGCCCTGTCCCTGGCCAACACCGTTCCCTTCTAATGGTGATTCTCAAATGAACACGCCAGTCCGTGTGGCCACCGCGGCCCAGGAAAGCAGCGGGGGCTCCGTGTCCTCCCCTGTGAAATGGGGGTGACGCCGTCGTCCTGCGTCCTGCTTTGGAGGGGGCCGCCTCTGGCTCCTCTCCACTCGTGCTTCCACGAGCACACACTAAGCGTCAGTCCCTGCCCCCAAGGGCTCACTCTCTGGTCGGGGGACAGCACTACACACCTAAGCAAGAGCGTGGGGAGCACAGTGAGAAAGTGGGGAGACCCAGATTCCAGGTAAGTGGTGGATGCAGCCTGGGGCCGGGGGCGGGGTGGGAGGGGCCGGTGGCCAGGGAGAAGGGGCTAGATCCTGGACAGCAAAGGCTGAAGAGCTGTGGTTCCTTGCAACTCATAGTGAGCGGTTGGTAGCTCAGGCCCAGCCACGGGTAGGGTGAGGGAGGGGCCTGGTGCAAGGAGCCACAGGGAACCCCTATCCCAGGACCCCTCTGCAGAACGCTCCAGGATGTACACCGTGCGGGACAAGCAGGCAGCCCCTCGGTCCTCGGGAGCCCGCCCAGTGGACAGTGAGGGGTGGCGGGGCAGCGCAGCTGTGCCCGCGTGTGCGTGCCTCCCTACCTTCTTCCAGAGCAGCAGAGCCGTGCACAGGATGCTCAGGACACTCAGCAGGCCGATGAGGCAAAAGAGCAGGACATTCTGGGGGGCCCTTGAGGGCTCTCGGTAGCCTGTGTCTAGGAGGAGGGCGGGGAAGGAGTGGCACCTGTGACACCCCACACTGCCAACCCGCAGGACCCTGATCCCTAGCCTCCTTTTCCCAGAATCCCCCGCACCTCCCCCAAGAACCCCCAGACTCCCACCTCTCCTGAGGTGCACACTCTCCCACTCGCCCTGGCTGAGGCCCTTCCAGTGTTTGCCGCCCAGTCCTGGCTCAGGCAAGGCCCACCTCCCAGGCCTCCCAAGTGCCCTGCCACAGTGAGCGGGCTCCACGGCAGGCTGCCTGCAGAACCCTGGGCAAGTCATTTCCTCTCCTGGGGCCCCCTCTTCTCCGCCCGTGAAACAGTGATCGTGTGGGCGGGCAGGGTGAGGCTGCAGAGGACACTTCGTTCTGGACCCGGCAGGTGCCCGGCCTGCACACACGGGGGCCCTGGGGGGGTGTGGAGGGCACAGCCCAGCCCCTCCCTGGAGCCGTCCATCCTTTCCTCCCTCCGCCCTGCTCTCCATCCATCCGGCTGGCAAAAATTTGCAGCATGCTGACCACGAGCTAGGCATGTCGCTGTCTGTTATTTATCCAGTGCACCCTGTTACCAGGTTCCAGCCTCGTGTGCAGGGCCCGATTCACCCCCACACCAGCCTGTGACAGGCAGGGTGTTGCCATGAAGACCAGGCCCAAGGCCCCACCCTGGCAAGCTACAGGACTGGGGTCCACTCCCAGGACTTGGGTCTCTGAAGCCCCGGCCCCTCCCAACAGGAGTTGGAGAGGCAGGTCAGAGAGAGAATCACGGCTCCGGGGACAAGCTGTTCTTAATTTGTTGGTGTCATCGCTCCTTTGAGAATGTGATGAAAGCTAGGAATCTGTCCCCAAAAAGATGCACATGAGCCACGGGCTCACTCACAGGCCGCCGCCATCCTGAGCGCGCATGCCCCGTTCCACACTCGCTCAACGCCCGCCTTGTGCCCACAGGACACTGAGACCAAGGGACCAAGTGATACCTCTTAGGCCGCCTGCCGGAGGAGTCCAGAGAAGATCTACACCCCAGGCCTCTGCCCTTCCCACGCTAAGGCAGGTGCCTTGGCGTACCTGCGCAGCCCAGGGTCCCCCCAGGACGCTCTGTTCTGATTTGTCAAAGCTGAAAGGTGAGGGCAGACACCCCCCTCCCCCTTTAGATCCTGTGCCCCAAACCCTGCGGCATGGGCCTCTGGGCCCTCCGCCCTGGAAGAGCCACGGAGGCCTCACCTCTGACCAGGATGAAGGTGCCGTTGCCTTTCCCAGTGAGCTTCTGCCAGCGGACGGAGCAGTAGTAGGTGCCGGTGGCCGAGGCATCGCGCAGCTTGGGGGAGATGCTGCACTGCTGGGTGAGCGTCTGGTTCTCCTTGCCCTTGGTGGGGAGGCAGCCGGTGTTCCGGTGCCAATGCTGACGGCCCTGGCGGTCCACGTGATAGTAGGAGACAGTGAAGTTTTTGAACTGGGGGGTGTACGGGTAGGTGATACGGCAGTTGAAGGAAACAGACTTGTTGGCCAGCGTGACCACGATGGGGGGGCCCGTGTGGGTCACCGACTGCCCCCCTGCAGAAGAAGGAAAAGGAGACCGTGCTCACTCTCCAGGCCCTCCGCTTTCCCAGGGGGCTGCACGGCTCTCCCCCCACCCCCAGCCCCCCGCCCCCTGCCCTCCCGCTGTGCGGGCGTTGCGCCCGGCGCTTGACACGCGTGACTCGCCATCTCCCAACACGCCAAGGCCGAGTGCGCGAGAGCTCCGCTCCGCAGAGGAGCGGGGCCTGGCGGTCAGGGAGGGCAGGCTGCTGGCTGTCAGCCTCTCAGGGGTGGGTCTGCAGCCCTGCCTGGGGCTGGAGGACCCCAGGCCCCACGCACTCCCACCAGCCTCCTTCCCACCGGCGGTCGAGAAGCCCGGCTGGCTGGATGCTGGTGCAGGCCAGAGACGGCTCAGGCTCAAAGCCGGGGAGGATGAAAGGAACGAGGAGGGAGGCAGGCGAGCGGCAGGAAGCCGCACTTCCCGGCAGCAGACTCCCGGGGGGAGGCAGGCCTGCCCGGGGCTGTCCCAGCCTGAAGGGGGAGGCGTGCCGGGCCTCGGGAGATGGAAAGCTTTGCCGGCACCTGAGCTCCGAGAAGAACTTGTCAAATTTTTATAGACTATAACGGTTAGCGGTGGCCCCAAGAGCGGTTTTCTGACAACTCAGTGGTGGTCCGCACATGGCCGTTGAGCCTTGACCATGGTGTTCGGTGACGGTCACCAAGGCCATTTTGTGGGAGCTGCCTCCTCCCCACCCCCCCACCCACCACCCGTCTTCACCAGAGGCCTCTGGGAAGACAGTTCGGAAGCCCTCAGGGCAGCAGCCTGCCCACCCGGCCAGGCCTGAGGCCCTCCTGCCACCCCCGCCCCCCCGCCACCTCCTGAGACGCTGGTCAGCTTCTGGGCTGGGTCAGCGGACGGTCCCCTGCCCCCCACAGCCAGACCTCAGCTGCACAAGCCCCTCAGCCTCAGCGGGCCTCATCCCCCCGGCACCCTCCCTCTCCAGCAGCCAAACAGCAGACAGTTCTAAATTGAGGTCGGCAGCGAGCAGCCAAGAACATGCTGGCCAGGTTGTTAATCGGGAGAAGATCGTGCTTTTGAGACGCTCGGAGGGAGCAGGGAGATTTATTTTGTGGGGGGAAAGCGAGGTGTGGGCCTCCTGCCTGTGGTGCGGGGCTGGCGCCAGGCCAGGCCGGTCCCTGCTCAGGTCTCTGCCGCTCAGCCCTGAACGGGATCCCAAGGGGAGGGAAGGCAGGCCCTCTGGAAGACGGGGGACCGGGGACTGGGACAGAGCTGGCCCTGCACACCAGTTCGTCCCTCGAAGCTCTGACAACGCTGATATTCGGACTTTCTTATTGGGCAACTAGAAAGATACCCCCTCCCCCAGAGAACTGCAGTCACTGACGGTTCCAGAGTCAACTGGCACGTCTGGGTGTCACAGCAGGTCGGCCCTGTCGTATGTCGGCTCGGGGCTCCCCTCTGGCAGGCGGGGCAGGCGGGGATGTCACAGCGCACTTTCTACCCCTGGGCTGCGCGGCAGGGCGGCGGTTGCTGTTGTGGAACGGCAAGAGCAGACCCGTCGTGCACAAGGACCTGGGACTCGGGGCTGAGGTTTGTCCCAGATGCGGCACGGCAGGCGGGGGTCCCCGGAGGGCCGTGAAGGACAAGTGGCAAGAGGGTGAAATGGACGTCGCTTGCCCTGCCCAGATGCCATCCGTCTGTCCGTCCTGCACAGACAGTGTGCTCCCTTCTGCTGTCAGCACTGCCCAGGACCCCACCTCCTCACAGGGCCAGCTTCTATGGCGTCCCCAGACCCGACTGGGGAATCACTGGGGAACCAACTTTTTTTTAATCCTCAGGAGATTAAAGTGGATCTTCAATCCACTTGAAGATTTTTTTTCTACTGCTTTTAGAGAAAGAGGAAGGGAGGAGGGAGAGGGAGAGAGAGACTGGTTACCTTCTCATACGCACCCCCAACCAGGGATTGAACCCACAACCTTGGCATGTGACCTGACCAGGAATTGAACCCACAACATTCAGATGTATGGGATGACACTCCAACCAACCGAGCCACACGGGCCAGGGCATTGCCAGCTTTTAGCTGCACCTTCCCAACTGGTTCTCACAGTGGCCCCTCGAGGCAGCCAGTGCAGACAGCAGGCAAGTGTCACCTCTAGGGGTGCGGAGGCTGGAGCTGAACCCCAATCACCAGGAAGGCGGCCATGCCGAGGCCGGCTCGGGGCCCTGCCCACCTCCGCCAGAGCCTCCCGCTCCTCCTCTCTGAGCATCTGAGAGGCCACTGCAGGCCAGGGGAGGCTGCATATGCTGTCAGCGCTGCGTGGCCACCTTCCCGTGTGTCCTGGCGGGAAGACATTCGTCCAAGTGTCTTAAAAACGTCTCCGTACTTGAGGCATCCTTCTGGAGAGTGATGGAATCTGCGAGTGCAATTAAGCTGATCTTTCCAATTCTGGGGGACGCCGTAAAGACGGATGACTGCCGCTCTGCAGTCTTCCGGGATTCATTATCTCAAGGTCAGAGGATCGGGATCATGAAACGCACGGCCCGGCTCGGGTCTGCCGGAGAGAGGACAACCCAGGCCTCGGGTGAGACTGCTGTCTCCAAAAGGTGAAGCGACGAGGCCCGTCTCTGTGGCTCGATGACAGCGGCCAATCAGGGGACGGCAGGCCGAAAACAGGGGGGGGAGGGGCCGTGGCTCCCGGCAAAAGGTGGTGGGGCTTGGGCCTGGGGAATGCAGCTAACTGCCTCCCCTGCTCCTTCTTCTTACTGAGCACCAGCACCCCGGGCCTGCACCCCGGCAGCCCAGTCCCCACCCCTGTCCTGGACCCGTGCCTCCATGAGGCCCCTTCTGGGGTGCAGGCTGCTCCAGCTGGCTGTGCAGCATCGCCCAGTTACAGCTCGGTGCTACAGACAGGTTCATGGTCGCGTGCAGCTACCGTACGTGCTCCTCCAACAAACATGCAAGGGTACTGGTGAGGTCCCGAGCCCCACCCCAGGCCAGGAGGGGCTCCCTGTCCTGGCAGTGCCCCCAGTCCGACAGGGAAGCAGAGGGAGCCTGGGGTGGGAGGGAGGGCCGGTGGGGAGGTGGGGGAGGGGTGCGCTGCTGTCCTGGGGTCTGGAGGTCATTAGTGAGCTGAAAGCAGGAACACATGCATACGGTAGGCTAGAAACGGCCCGAGGACGGGGGCAAGAGCATGCATAGAAAACATACTCAGGCTGAGCACCACCTGCCCTGTGTCAACTCAACACCACGGCGATCCCATGAGGCAATGACTGCAACCTTATTTTGCAGACAAAAAAACACAAAAAACTAAAAACCCAGGGCATCTTAGAGGCCCAAAGCTACAGAGTTCCTAAGTGGTGGAGCTGGGATTTGAACTCAGGTTGTCTGTGCTAAGGAAGAAAAGCCAGCGTCTGGGCCAGGCAGTGGAGTCAGGCACAGGGCTAAGGGTGCTCGTGGTGGCACGAAGCACGGTGGACGTCGGGTGCCGAAGAGAGCCCTGGCGGAAGTAGCACACTGGCACAGTCCGAGGCCGTCGAGTGGCTGCAGGGCGGGGAGCCCGAACGGAAAGGGGGTTGGGGGAGAGCCACAGGGCACCCTGCCTGCCCCGCAGGGCCTGCTTCTCACCACAGGCCCAGGGGGCTTCAGGGGGACCCCACAGAGCTTGAGATGTGTCCCCCAAGGGCCACTGGGGTGGCACAGTGTGTAGGCCCACCTTGTGCCCCGTGACTGCTGCACTGTGATCAATCAGTTGTTCAGGCAAAGGGACTGTCCCTGTGGGACGAGCTGGGCCAGGGCACGGTGAGCTGGCCTTGGAGTCCTTCAGGGCTCCACTCACGGGCTGCCGAGGGGGGCCCTGGCCCAGAGGGGTGGGCTGGAGGAAACTCGGATTCCTGGACTGTGGAGCAGGGGAGCCAGAGGAGCCCCATCAGCGTGCCCCAGTGAGGCCACTGCGTGGGACAAAAGGGCGCGAGGGAGTCCACTCCCGGCCCTGCGTGCACGGGGCCACCTGTCCGCAGCACCTGCCCGGCAGGCTTCCTCTGCCCCCGCCCACTCCTCCCCACCCCAGCTGGCTATGGAGCATCCGTCCCTCTTTGGCGTGAATCAACTCCTGGATGGGAGAAGTGTGAGCCCGTGGTGAGTGTGGGTGGTGCAGAGCACCCCTGATGGGTGAGGTCCCCGGGGGTGGGCCAGCCAGAGACAGGACTGGAATACAGTTGCAGCCTGCTGTCTGAGAGGGCCCGGTCCCCAGGGCCACCACCCCAGCCCAGCCCCAACTGAGAACCCGGTTACTTATCAGGCATCGCCATGTGCTCCCCTCCCAACCCCCACATAACCGCCACGCACAGATGGTCCGACGGGGCGGCACGGGCTGCTTCTCAGGAGATGGTGTCTCCCAGGGACGTCATGTCCTCCATCCCTCACTTCTCAAAGCCCCGGGGGTGGCTGGGAAGCTGGGGCCTGGCCAGAAAGGGGGACAGCGGTGCCTAGAGAAGCCCAGGCCTGAGTTTGGGTCCTGGCTTTCTCACCTAAAGCTGCGCAACCTCGGACATGTGGCTTTCCTTCTCTGAAGTTCAGCCTCTCCCCTGCAACGGGGGGCACCAACAATGCCGAGCTCATAGGGTTGCCGCAGGGTTCACGGGGGCCAAGAACGTGCACAGGCTGCCGTGGGGCCAGCCTGCTTTACCAGGCACAAGTGGAGAGCGAGGAAGTCACGGGAGTCCCGAGGCCTTCCACGGACAGGTCCACGTGCAGGGCCCGCCCAGCAGGCGTGGCCTCCAGAGCCCGCACCGCAGCAGCTTCCTCCCACTCTTGCCCCATCCTGCTGTCTGTCTGTCTGTCCGTTGCCTTGTTGGGAAAGACTTTGTCCATCACCCGATGAGCGCCTGACTCCCCCCTCACTTTTCCGGTTCTTCTTTTGAACCTGTGACCACTGGAGCTGCCGGTTGCGAGCAGACAGCTGCAGAACACACCCCGCTCCTCCCCAGCCGGAGCCTGCTGGCTGCTCCTGGGGATCCG